CTACAGGGCTTATAGCCCTTTCCCTGAGCATGGAGGGCATCACGCTGCCCTGACTTTTATTCCAAATCATAATTCTCTAAAGCTGGCTAGCGTGTGTCAGAAATCTATACTATTTATTCTTCAATTCAAACACCTAGGAAAAGCGCTGAAAAAAAAAATAGTGTGCTAGGAATAAGAGTTGGTATTTTCAAAAAACACAGATAACTCAATTACAAGTTTTTTATTTTTAATTTGGGGAAAAAAAAAAAAAAAAACAAACATTTGAATCTCATCAGAAAACCAAAAACCACTGTAGCCGCAGGAGTCTGAGGTGTTTAACACCAAGTATTTTTGGCGTACAGTCAGGATCTTGGTTTAGTGCTTAGTTAGCAGTAAGCGTACCATTTGCTTTGCTTTAGTAATTATTCTAAATCACCCTCTTGCCTCCCCCCCTTCTTAAGGAAGGTTAACCAGCAAGCTGTACAACAAGAATGTGTGCTTCATCACCTCTCCCAACTTCAGAGAGTACACACAAAACAGCCATGGAGGAAAAGGATATCATTGCCACACCTGCAAGGAAGGAGGACCGAAGGACAGGAGCAGCACAGGGGTAGAACACAGCTCAGGGTGACAGGGCCGCTTCTTACATCCCCGATACCTACCTCTTAAAAGAAAAAAGGAACCTATACATTTAAACATTGAACAGTCCTAATAGGCTCTGATCTTACTAAAGGCTCTGATCTTACTCATCTGGCATAAAACAATTTAGGAATTTAGGGTGGGGTGTTTTTTTTTTTTTTTTTTTAAAGAATCCCAGCAACACCTAATGCACTAAGGCAGCGCTCACCCTGTGTCTGCATATTTTCCAGCAGTATCAACGACTCTTTCTGCATTAGAAAGCTGTTTTAAAGGCCCCAAACAGAAAAAGTCATGCTTTTTACTTTTAGGAGATGTTCCTTTGAGACATATATATATTCATTAGAATGCGAGAGTGGTTTAGAGAATCACATCTCAATTTTGTTTGAGACTACTATTCAAAACATTGTTTAATCTGTAGATCTCTGCTCAGTTCAATTTTTACCATGCAACAAGAAGAAAAGGTATATTTTAGAAGCAGATAAGGAAATAGGGGATTGTTCTTGTGGCTGTCTCTCATGCAACTTTGTGGAGGGATAGCAATTTATTACTAATTATAATTTATTTATTTATTAACTTTTTAATAGCATGCAGATAATTTCCTGGATAAGCATAATTTGGTGTAAGAAAATAGATAAGCTAAAATCTTAAGACTTTTGTACACATAGATCCTAAGCATAGAAAAAAACTTTTCTATACAAGGACGTTATTCTGAAATCACTACTGTAATAAGAGTATATTTTACCCTATTTTTTTATGTTTTGAAAGACCCAGAACACGCACACACACAGTTGATGAAGCATGTATTTTCACCTGAAAAACAGGATATCCTGTCAACTACTTAAATTATTTTTGTACTGTTCAAAATATTTGTATTATATGAAGCAAAGTATTAACAAAGTATAAAAAACTAACAAAACCAACATCAAATTTTTATTATCTCAAACATTACAAAAAGTTAGGGAGCAGTTTAAAAAAAAAAAGTGAAAGTGCCCACATTTAACATCTAGAAGTTTGTCTGCAAGTATGTGTACACAACTACTTGATACTGATCCAAGAGCAAACAAATACTAACGATTTTGAAGAGTCAAAAAAAAGATGTTTCCACAAGCGATCTTGAAAAGAAACTTCTCAGTCATAGTCTAGAGTATGAGGTAGTATAAAGAAACTAAAAACCAATCTGTCAAGTAAAGGATATTTTGTATTGTACATATGCTATTATCTTTACAAAAAATAGAACCTGAGCACGTAAACGTCTTAGTCATTGAGCTGCATCTCTAGTTTTGTTCCTTGGGAATTTCTTCTGAAGAAAAGACTACAGATCATATAGTAAAACTCTGGTTTCAGTTTATCATCTTCAACTGGGCAGCATTTCACTTCAACAGTTTTATCTGCTGAATACGTTAGTTCATAAAAGGGAATTAAGTGAATCAACATCGCATTTCTCCCACATGTATGCAAAATCAAGGGATTAGAAAAGTCATCAAGAGATCTTCATATGAGAGATTAATTACATTATGTATATAAATATAAAAGACTTCAGTATTTAAAAAAGCAGAAGTACACTTTAAAGAAGAACGTGAAGCTTTGAAGAAGAGAAAGAATTTTTTCCTAATTTTTTTCCAAACAGCACAACACAGCATCTTAATTAGGAATTCTAATAAATGGAATTACTGTCTGTAAACTACATTTTAAAGTCTTTAAAACCAAACTGAGATCAGAAAACTATGAGTCAATGCAGCATTGGTTTAGTCCCTGCCTCCGCCTTAAGTGTTTCCCATTCACTTATGCAGATAACTGCTTATCAAGATAAAAGTGAATATTGACATAACTATCCAGTACCTGAAGGAACATAACACTTCATGCTTCTGGTTTGTTACAAGTACACCTGTACTAAAATGACCAACTTAGCAATCAGCTTAAAGACAGACATGTTATTGTTATTTTACTGAAAGAAAAGCTTTAAAATAATTTAATGTGGTTTTTGTTCTGGCTTCATTCAGATTAACCAGTGCACATCAGCGCTCATACCCCACTAACCAGTTATTTACATTCAGCAGCACCAGAAGAATACACACAAATGCCCATAAAACTCTCCATCTTCACAATCATAAAACATTACATTTGTGGATGCTTTCATGAGCCCCTGCTGGAAGATTGAAGATGTAGCAAGTTAAGGAAGTAGTTCTCAAGCATTTTGATAACAGATCGCTTTCACAAAAACACAAAACTTGTTTCAATATGTGTTGGTGTTTGCAATGAAAGCAGCTAGCGAGACCTTTCCTATTTAAATAGGAGATGGAAACAGCCATATCTAGATCAAACTCTGTCCAATGCCAAATAAAAAAATTAACAAGTCATCTGAAAGTTACACCATTTTCCATTCCAACATTATTCAGGAACCGTTCTCTCACCAGATGTGTTTAAATGCATGGTACTTCTGAGGAAAACAATCACACTGACATTAAGATGCCAAGAAACTAGGATGATCACAGAAAAAAAATGCAAAAGCATTAAACGTTAAAATTTTATGACTCAAAATTAAAAAATTATGTCAAAGTTGACTTGCAAATCAGCATCTACTTTTGAGAACAGTGAAGGTCCTAAATCCATCTATTAGCTTGATATCAAGTATATTTTTGGCATATTTAACTAGCACATTTTGTTCTGCGTTGCCAATCAGTGTTAAAAGTATAACCTAAATAATCAAAGACCTTCCCATCCTTATCTCAAATCCAATAAGTCAATCTTACCTTTCCCCTTTCACAAAACAGGGTGGAGAAAAAGGATATCATTGCCTCAGACTGCAAGTGGCGGAGTAGCTTCTCTAAAGGAGGATAGCGGCACAGGGATGGAACACAGCCCACCATGATTAGTTTGTGCTTGGCTCTTGTGATGGCAACATTAAGACGTCGCCAGTCCTTCAGGAGGGCGCCAAGCTGTTAAATAAACTAAGTCATTTTAATTTTTCCTACTTAAATTTCAGAATTTAATATAGATAGATACATTTTGAAAATGAGTGGTTTAAACTTTGTTTCAGTCAATTTCAATAGTTATATGACCAACTTACATTTTCATCGTTACTGTTCCTAACAAAAGACACAATTATGATACTTTTGTCTCTTCCTTGGTATTTGTCTACTGTGTTGACTTCCACTCTGTTCTCCTTCAATTTTGCAATCAAATCAGTGATTGTTTTTAATTGATGTCTGTATGGTGATATAATGCCAATGTCTGAAGGCTTGCAGCCAGCCTGAACGAAGAAGAAACAGAAGAAAAAAAAAAAAACAAAACAACTATCACTGCAGGGAGCTTGGGACACTCAGTACTGCTCCTGAAGTTGACTGGATGGAATAAGGAAGAAAGAAAAATCCTCTCTTCTCCCTCACAAGAAAGTCCTCATCTCTCAAAAGAATTTGGCATCCAGCTTTTTTTGCATCCCAAATCCAACCAGGCACGGGACAGGGAACTGAATGCAGACCTCAGGCTACTCACTATACCGACATGTAGCCAACCTCCAATTTATCCTTAAGGTTATCCCTCAAAGAATAACCCAATACATATAGTTGCCATTACTATAGCAATGTAAAAATTATTAATTATAAAGCTGTACCTCCAAACAATGTAATAAAGTAAAAGATACCTTAATAAATAAGGATGTGAGGAAAAGTACTAGTTTGGCTTCTGTCACATTACTTACACCACCTTTTTCTGCACGTTCTGGTGCTGGGACCTTTAAAAATATAAACAGAAAATAATGACTTTTATTGTCTACAGTGGCATACTGTATTCTGATCCCTAACTCACCATGTCATACATATGTTTGTAGTAACAGTTTTAAGAAAAAATAAGGCTAAATGCTAAATTGTACAGAGTACAAGAGCCTATACTGTAACTTCAGAATACTGTATTTGCAAAACAAGTTGGAATGATCTGCTGAAATGAGTTTCTAGTACTAGCAAGTGACCTTAAGAAACTGCCAAAGCTCGATCAGCCGACTTTACAGTTCACACAATATATAACATATGAAAAAAGACATTTCCCAGCCAGATAAGGTAAGAGAGCAAACTACATTTTACACGGGACTTTTGTTTTAAGGCTTTCCATACAACAACGTTTACAGTGAATTTTCCCCATTTCCATGGCAGAAAGGATTTTTTTTTTTTTTTAAAAGATGTTTGAAAGCCTATGTTCAAATCTACTGGAAGAACTATCCAAAATAGTAGTATTAAATTTAACTTCCAAATTAAAAAAAAAAAAAAGTATTCACTGAATTTACCATTTCTTAACTATTAACTCCCTTTTCCTGCATCATGTATGAATGAGACCAGAAAGCCAGGAACAAGCTTAGAATGTAAACTCTTGTCATTTCAGTATCACAGTTTTATAATTTATTCTCTTTGCTTAGCTCTTGCCTTCTCTAAAGTTTAAGTAGTATCATTAGCAATGAATGTGTTCCTGATGTGTCCCTTCTAGTCAACTGGCATGCAGCTAAACCTCTGGAGTCAAGTAACAAACCTCTTCATTTAAAATGTCTAAAACTGAGCATACACTGAACTGCTTTCTGGCTCTGAATTCCATTTACTACCTTACTCATTTACTGCCATTTACTACTTTACCCATTCCACTATTTGCCTCTGGTACTAGTGACATACATCAACTTTGTTTTCTTAGATGCCACTTTGTTCAGTTGTCCTTCTAAGTTTTTATGACAGCATTGCCATTCAACACAGGAGGTGGTATAGTCTGACTTAAAGCAACACTCCGAGTCCTGTTACAACTGGTTTTACTTCTCCAAACAACCACCCCAGTATCATCTGAATGGCTGAATTTGGAGATCGCTATAATGTTTAACATGTGGGTAAAGTAATACATAGTTAAGATTTGTAAGAGTATTCCAGGTAAGTGGCATTTGCTTACTGCAGCAATACCACTGCACATGTACAGAATCTGAGTGTACAATATGCATTAAAAGCTTCACAAATGCAGAAGTTCAACTGACTGGATAGCTCGTCAAGGATAATCTATGTTCAATGCCTAGCATGCTAACACACTGCGAATGAACAAAAAAAAATAATCTAATAGAGATTGACAAACCCATAAAACCGATCCCAGCCACATGCAAAAAAAGTAGTCTGTATTCCGTTGCTTAAGTAGGGTACTACATACTTCAGCAAGAATCCTATTTTTCTGCAACATATCCCCCAAGCTTCTTTTACATGACACAGTAGGTTTTCAGTATGTTGCGTAGATCATAGAAGCAGAAAAATATTCCTTCCTATTAGAAGATTCCATTGCGTTTTCCAAACCAGCAGTTTTTCCATAGCTTGTGTCTCAACAGCTACGCAGCTTAATACTTACTGTAAGCTAACTTGTTTTTACACTGCCATGATGCACTCAGTCTAACTGTTGTTATGACCTGTCATATCAGAACTGAATTAAGAGCTATACTGTTATAGCTGTGCTGTTGCAGGTTTTTTTGCACTATTTTAATCAACAGTTGGTTTCTATCCACACTAGCATTAACGTAGCCAAAAACTATACAAAGCACTATTTTAGGGGAAAAAAGTTCTAAAAGGTAGGTCATACTTATAACAACACATGCTTACATTTATATTTATGTTCACATAGTACACCAAAAAACGTAACAAAAACAACTTTAGCTTAGAATTACTCAGAAGACTGGCATTAAATCAAGGATATCGTTTTTTCAACATTCAGACCCCAAGCTGTCAGAGGAAGTGCAGACTGACACAGGGCGTGGCAGAAAAGGAACAAACAGATTTCCAATTACTGTCACAAACATGTCACATTATTAAACAGAAAACAATAGCGGCTTTTTTCTTTTTTTTAAAAGTAAGCATAATAAATGCAAGCTTCCTGGTGGTGTCATATTTTTTCTTCTCCTTTCTCCCCTTTTGTATCCCCCCAAATATGTTTCTTCAGAAGGTTTTCTTGGTTACACTACGAACAACAATACACAGGGGAAAAGAAACACTGTAAAGTCAAAGAAAACAAAATAAATTCTTTTTGTCTATGGTAGGGGGACTTGGGTTGTTTGGTTTTTTTCTTTTTTTGACTTTTTTCCCCCCTTTATGACTACCACAATACATGGAGTTTTGACAGAAGTCCAAAAAGAGATACGGTATTATAGCCTAATGTCTCAACAAAACCAAGAGTATTTTGGAAAGTGAAACTTTCCTCCTGGTTCTACAAACAGAACAGCTGTCTTATACTCGAGACAGGCTTTCTAGGGAAGAAAAAAAAAAATGGAACAGAATGGCTTTCACATTATCAATTTTGGTCTGATTAATAGATCAACAGTGGATCAGCCTATTGGAACAAACCTTTTCCCTGGGACCAGTTGTCTGCTTTTCTATGAAAGGGACAG